TCCCTAAATGCTAAAAACTCATAAATTAAAACAGCAAGCAAGTCCCCTGAAAGGTACCTTCCTGGTGCTGTCTAAAACAAATGCAATCTTCTGTTTGGGCATTTAAAACACCACAAGCATTCTTACTTAGATTAAATTGTGGGTCTCCCTGGTCTCCAGGCATGTCTAGACATGAACCAGAAAGGGAATGAGTCCCTTGGAGTTTCTCTAGTAACTGCAAGCCAAATCAACAGCAACCATTAGAACAAGCAGCATTCATTCTTTTTTTTTTTTTTTTTTCCTTTCTTTCAATAAGAACAGAAAAGGCCACAAACATTTTTTGGTCATTTTTTTTTTTTTTTTCATTTATAACATCAAATAAACCGTACTTTAAAAAAAAAATTATTTCAGTAGTAGGCAATGTATCTTGAAGACTTTTCTTTCGATATGAATTTCTTTATTTTGGTATTACCTTTGAAGAAAAGTTTTAGGAATCTAATTTATCACGGCATCTTCCTCAACCTTTGCCTTGGATGGCAGTAGTACAGTTCAGGTAAGGCATCTAAGATGCAACTAAGACTCGTAAAACATCAATTAGGAAGAAGTAATAATTATTGAATTCAGTAAAAATGACTAACAACTTGAAAGAATGGAATTGTTTTTAACAGTTGTGTCTTTATCTATAAAGGAGAGTTGATCAATAGAAATTTTATATTTTATTTATTTTATTAATAAAGTAAATATAATTTTATAAATATAAAATTACAAAGTTAGCTCTGAAATTATCGTGAGGTAGCCCAGAGGTTAATCAACTCTGATTTCAGCAGGGTGCCTGGTATGGCTTGGTATACTATACATTTTAATGAACGTGAGTGATTTTACTTATATTTCACTTTAGTTTATTCTCTTACTTTGGTGTTCACCAAAGAAATCATGCATCTAGCAGAAATGTACTGTCTTTCATACTCAAAGATAATGTTTTAGCTCACTCAAACTCATCCTCGGGAAGAAACACTTCTGATATCATAGTGTAACTAGTGTAACTTTGGACTTTGTACTGAATGATTCCTGTTACCTGGTCTTATTCATATTACTTGTGGCATCCAGGAAACCATTTGCTGAGGTTAGGGGGTGTCATGAGAGAGCATAGTAACTGAAGATTTGTCAATAGAGGTCTCCCAGAAGTCTTCTGTAACTGTCCCTTTTCCGAATACACACATAAACACATCTACATTCTTCAGAAATGGAATTCTGAGACTAGGAAAATGTAACTTTTTACAGGATCTTGTTCCTCTGGCCTCTGCAACCTTCACCCTAAATATCTAAATTTGCTCTTGCTGAAGCCATACTCCAATCTCACTTCCTTCGTCAGCGAATCTTCCCTGACTGATCTCTTCCCTGCTTCTAATCCCAGCAGTAAAAGCCATAGTTTAGTGATCTGATATATACTGTCTTGAATGGTAAACAACACATGTTCACTTTGTTTTATACATCTGGAATATAGAATGCCTATACTTTATACTTCTTGGGTGCTGATTACACAGCAGGTATTTGAATAAGCATGTGCTGAAAGTAGGAATAATTTTACCTAAAGTTGACCTTGAGATTTCAAAACTGCCCTTGATCTCAAGAGGACCACACTTGAATCTCAATTAAAGAGTGGGATCCTGGTGTGGTTCTGTAGGATAGCCCTGGACTACTAACTGCAAGGTTGAGGGTCCAAACCCACTAGCTATAATCGAAAACCATATACAGGATCGCTATAAATTGGAAACAAGTCAACAGCACAATATAACACAAGGGAACTGGCTGGCTTGGACTAGGTCACTAGGAGATCCATCCTTCAGTCTTACTGCATGGTCCTCCAGAAATATCAAGACCAAGTCCTCAGGGAAGGGAATGCAAAGGCTTAGATGAAACTCTCAACAGGCAGTCTTACCACCTTTCTGAAGTTGCCTAGGCCTGCCTCCATTTAAAAACCCAGGCCTATAATTTGGCAGTAGATTTGGGAACGGGATTCCTAGAATGGAATGGGTCTGAAAACAAGGTGGGCCTCGGGGACTTCTTGGAGAGAAGTTCGTTGCCCCTCCAGCTTAGAGGGGCGGGGCAGAAACTATTTAAGAACCTGTGTCTGGGTCTCCAAGTTCTCTTCACTGGAGGTCCTCCAGGCACCCGCCCTCTACCCCTACCCGCCGCTCCCTCCCTCCCTCTCCTCCCCCCTCTCCCCCCACCACCCCATCTCGCGCCGACACGCCCCCTCCGCCCGCGGGGTTCCAAGGGCGGTTGGCTGACCAGACCACGGTCACTCGGCCATTCGGAGCTGCGGGGCTCACGGGGCTGATACCAGGCTCCAGAGTTTGGGCTGGGAACTGAAGAGAAGGCTTCTGAGCGAAGGCACGGGGAAATGGGAATTGGGCTTGAGAAAGCGAAGGGGAAAGGAAAGGGGAAGGGAACGTCAAGGGGAGGGACCTCGAAGATGGGGAAGAACTTGGGGAACGGAGTCTGGGAGCGGAGGCTTAGGCGGCTGGGATGCAGCCAAGCAGGCCGGGGCTCCCGGCACACCAGGGTCGGGATGCGCGGCCCTGGGGAAGCAGGTCCCCTCCGGCAGCGCCGCCCGCTGGCAGTGGCTCTGCGCTGTGGACGCGGCGAACCCAGCGGGGCCAGCGCAGCCCGCACCGACAGGGAGAGAATGCCCGTTGGGCTGAGAGCGTCCTCGGAGGTCGGGAAGCCCCTCACCCCTGGCCTCGCGCCCAAGCCCTATCGAGCTTCGCCCTGGGTGAAACTCAGTGGGACCGAGTCGGGTCCTGACCCCTTGGAGACACCGGGTCGGCACTGCGGACCGTCCGGGAGCTGCAGCCCGCGGGCGCCCGGTGCTCGGTTTGTAGGCAGTGTAATTAGCTGATTGTACTCTGCTGCATACAATCACTAACTCCACTGCCATCAAAACAAGGCACAGCATCACACGCCGCCCCACCAGGAGGACGACTCCACGCTCTGCAGCAAACGCCCCCTGGGCGCCGGACCAGAGGCGTGGAAGGAGCCAGCTCGTTTGGAGATTTGATGTGTCAGCATTTACCCCAAGGATGCTGCTCAGCCAGCACGTTGCCAAAGTACGAGTAAACCTGTGGAAACTCAGGCTTATTTTTCAGATTTCGTTCCATTGCTAACTATCTCTATGAGTAAAAGGAAGATTGTACAGTCTCGTAAAAGGAAGGCAAATGTGTGGGGTTTAATGGCTTTAATGTTAAGATATTTATATAAAGGCATTTAAACTGCTTGTAGGAGCCCCCCACCCCCCAATAAGGTTTTAAGTTGGAAGCGACTCTGTGGCTCTTAACAACAGTGGTTTAGTCACCAACCTATGGACTCCTTAAGTTACTACTTAACCAGTAAGTTGCCTGTTACAATTTAAGGAAGCACCACTTTGAGACTGCAGTTTGTGACAGGAATGACGCTTCTGTGAGTCTAGTTACTAGGCAGTGTAGTTAGCTGATTGCTAATAGTACCAATCACTAACTACACAGCCAGGTAAAAAGATTTCATCATTCATCCCAGTGAGCTTCCTATGCACTATGCAACATCAGTGTATTGGGGAGGGAATGGTATATGCTAATATCTTGCCATCTTATCAATAGCATTTAAGCTCTAAAACATACAATGTGTGAGATAGAAAGACATATTTTCATTATTCCTTTATGCTCTTAAACCGAAATAAATTTTAGACACCCATAACAGATTTGCAGATAGGAAATCTTTTTAAGCTGTGGTTATCATCTTTCAAACTATCTTTCTGTGAGGTGATATTGTTAATATTCTAGAAGAATAAAATGCCACTAAGACATAAATTCTGGCCATTATCATTTGACTGTTTCTTTTCATAAACTGGCTCTATTATGTTCGGCTCTTGAAGTCCTGGTGTGGTACTGTAGGATAAGCACTGGACTGCTAACTGCAAGGTTGGCAGTTCAAACGCACCAGCTGCTTCTCAGAAACCCTATCAAGAGTAGATACAAGTCAAAACCAACTCGATGGCACTTAATTAGGTGCATCTCAGTTGCTGTCATAGTAATTTAAAACTTCCCTACTGTTGAAATGGTATTATACCTAGATTAGCAAAATATTCCAGAGGAAACTGTTCACATATGTTGTTGTTATGTGCCGTGGAGTCGGTTCCAACTCATAGTGACCCTGCATAGGGTTTCTGAGACTGTAAATCTTTAGGGAGCAGAAAGCCTCATCTTTCTCCCACAGAACAGCTGGTAGTTTCGAACTGCTGAACTTGCGGCTCGATTCGTAACCACTACTCCTTATTCACCTATAGTTGCTAATATTTTATAGGAATACATTAACAGAATTTCTCAAAATTTATATTTCATGAAATGACTCAATTCATTGAGCAATCCTTACAATTGTTGCATCCTAGGTTTTATTAAAAATGATTAGTAAATTAGGATCTAAATCAAGTTTCTTTTACAAGATTTGTCTTTAAGGATTTGAACATGAGAACTATGGACACAGCTCACCACTCTAGCTCTCCTAGGCTATTATTAGCCATCTTATTGGAGTCCTAGTGTGGCGCTATAGGATAAACACTGGACTGCTAACCACAAGGTCCGCGGTTCAAAGTCACCAGTCATGGTGGCACTTACAATATTAAATTCTCTTATCAGTGCAGGCCCCACGGAAGGGATGATGCTCCTGGGCTATTTATCTTGTCTGGAGGAGGAGGTGGGGGCGGGGTTGGGCAAAGGAATTTAAAGTTTCAGATTTCCTTTGCAGAAAGGTGGAGAAATGAATCAGGATATGAGGACTAAACTGCTCCCCCACTGACTCCAACAGGACAGGACATGTCCCGTGTCCTGTTGATGTGTTGACCATTTCATCTCAACTTTGACTGCACCGCAGAAGTCCACAACTAGTCCTCAAGCACGTGCTCTACCCCAACATTGGCGACTGTTGTTGCTACCAACTGGACAGTTCTGGGAGGGGCGGGCCTGCTGGAAGAAGCGTCCAAAGTTGCTATGGAAACGCAGGTCAGAGAAAATCTCTGCCGCCAAAAGGAGTCGAATGAAAGTTTCCAACACGGACCACTGGTGTTTGCCGGCTCCTCGGAACAGGACATAAATTTGGCTAAGCAGTTCTGGTTTTCAGCGTCGCTGTATCCTCATAACGAATCTCAGTTGGTGCTGCTCAGGGGTAGCAGGCAGCCTGTGACGCGGCCTTCTGGTGGCGGTGTGTCAGGTGAGTTGTGGCGTTCAGCTGGATGATTTTTGCTTCCACGGTAACCTTCTTGGGATATGGCATTGGCGCAAGGGTTAGCAAGCGCTGGGCTAACCGAAAAGTCTGCGGCTGGATCCCAGCCAATGGCTCCCTGGAAGAAAAGACCTGCAATCTGCTCCTATAACAATCAAAACCAAAATTAACCCAAGTCCACTCCCATCGAGTCAATTTCAGCTCGTAGTGACCCTACAGAACAGAGTAGGACTGCTCTATAAGGTTTCTGAGGCTGCCAATCTTTAGATAAACTGCTTCCCCCTGTAGAGCGGCTGATGTATTTCCAACTGCCAACCTTTGTTGTTGTTGTTAGGTGCCATCGAGTTGGTACTAACTCATAGCGACCTTATGCACAGCAGAACAAAACACTGCCGGATCCTGGGCCAACTTTTAAGGCCTAGTATATCCTAAGGGGCAGTTCCATTCTGTTTTACAGGGTCAAGTCAGTCAGAATTGACAGGACCCCACACTATTTTTAAATGACAATATTTTCTTTCAAATATTTAAAACACTATGCAAAAAAATAGTTCTGGTAATCTTTCCAACTGAAAAAGATCAGTAATATTTTTGATATATCAAAAAAAAAAAAAGGACATCTTAAAATAACTCAAGTTATGGCATATTATTGACAAAATAATCTCTGGGAATGTTATGTACTGACTAAAGAATAGTAAATAAAGATAGTGGTTTACATATAATTGAGTTCAAACACAAAAGCCCAAGAGAAAGATCCCTAGCCTACAAAAGCCCAGAGTAAGGTCTAAGATTGAGAAACTAAATATACAATCTTTTCAGAGATATTTTTTTAATTGCCCTTGGGTCAATTCTGACTCATAGTAATCCTATAGGAAAGAGTAGGACTACCCCATAGAGTTTCCAAGTTTGCAAATCTTTACAGAAACCAATTGCCACATCTTTCTCCCACCGAAAAGCGGGCCTTTTGGTTAACAGCCCAGCACTTAACCACTGTGCTACCAAGGCTCCTTTTCACAGGTATAGAAAGTTCAAATTCATTAATGTTGTGGTCTTTTCCCATGCTTATTTTCCTTTTGTATTTTTTAGAGAAATCTCAGTTCCAGACTTCGCCCCTTGAGAGTAACAGTTAAGTATCAAGTTTTCTGCCCTTCAACATCCTTCACTCAGATTCTTCAAAGAATAAGTAATATGTATAACAATACAACTTTACACTTTGGTTTAACAACCTGATTACATATTGCAGTGACTCCCCTATTTCTCCAAAGAACAGTGCCTAAACTCCCTTAACACTTTAAATTGTTGTTGTTCAGTGCCATAGAGTTGGTTCCAATTAATGAATGATCCTGAATAGGTTTCCAATGAGTGACTGTTGGGTCTGAATCACTGACCTTGCTTATCCTACAATGCCACACCAGGACCCCTGACACTTTGATTAGGAACGTAGAAATGGAATCTTTGGTTTTTCAGCTGTGTTCTCCTCAGAGATTTTTCCTTGTCTCTTCATTTGGATTTACCTAGAGACTGGAGTCCTAGTTTGGTGCTATAGAATAAAGCAAGGTTGGTTTGAACCACAAGGTCGGCGGCTCAAACTCATCAGCAGCTCCTTGGAAATTCTATACAGGTCGTTATGTGTTGGAACTGATGCTATGGAACTTAACAACAACAACATCTGGAGACTAGAGGTTCCCCTCAGCCTTAGCTAGTTAATTCAACCTTAAATTCTTTATGAATCTGGTTTGTAAACTTTCACGACACAGTATATGTTTGTATTTGTCATCTTACTTTGTTAACCTATGTTGAGATTATAAAATCATGGTAAAGTTGTTTCTAATTGAATTTGACTATCTCTTTTAGAAAGTATAAGAGTTGAGGAAGCCCTAAAGATTCAGGAATCTGAGGAAAAACTGAAGTATCTCCAAAAGGTAAGGCAATTTTGCCAAAGGTCATCTGATTTTCATAAAATTTCTTAAATGTTCCCAATTCTTTTTCTTTACCATATGGACATTTTCTATTTCTAGTCAGCTTAAGAAATTAGAAAAACCTTGATTAGAAATAATTAAATTCTGGTATTGATTTGTAAATTTGCATTTAGAGAATAGTTCTAAACAGATATAATTAGATTATTAGATGTAACTTTATCAATGATTAGGGAATAAACTATAATAAGCTTTCAGACTTAGTACTATGTTGTTGTTGTAGGCCATCAGGTTGATTCCAACTCACAGCACCTCTATAGGAAATAATAAAACTGCGAAGGAACGCTGGTAGCGTAGTGGTTATGAATCAGACTGCTAACCTCAGAGTCAGCAGTTCAAAACTACCAGCTGTTCCACGGGAGAAAGATGAGGCTTTCTGCTCTTGTAAAAATTTACAGCCTGTACAGGGTCGCTATGAGTCGGAACCCACTCCGTGTCACATAACAACAACATAGGGCTTTCTAGACTATGCTCTTTATGGGAGCAGATCTTTTCTTCAGCAAATCATCTTTTGGTTGGCAGCCAAGCACAGAATCACTGTACCATCAGGGCTCCTTGAAATAGCTATAACTAAAACAAAACCCACTGCCATGGTGTCCATTCCACCTCATAGAACTACAACTACTTCATATGGTTTCTGAGGCTGTAAATCGTTTTGGAAGCAGTTTGCTTCATCTTTCTCCTGTGGAATAACTGGTGAGTTCAAACCACCAACCTTCCTCTTATCAACCCTATGCTCAACCCACTGTGTAACCAGGGCTCTTTCACATAACTATAGAGTAGCACAATAATGAATTAGCTACAGCAAATGCATAATTGAGTTGGTAGCCAAATCTCTATAGGATGGTGGTGGTGTGCCATTAAGTCATACTGGTTTATTAACTGAGAATTTTGCCTGTGATGATGATAACATATAAATCTTTCCACTGGGTGTAGTTGAAAAGGCATAGTATTTAGAGTAAGAAATTCCTAAATTACTTTTAATTATTTGGAAAATTGCTGGATCTCTCTGAGCTTCAGTTGCTTCAACTTTAAAGCATCTGTCTTTACTGTGTCACCAAGCTATAGGAAGGATAGTGTGAGAGTCATATGTGCGTTTTGTGAACCATAAAGTGCTTTTATAAATATTAATCATGTTACACAAAGTATCCTGGCTTAGGATATCAATAAATTAGTCTGCCAGTTTCTAGCAACAAATAAATCTTCTAATATCTGTCTTGCTTTACATAGAAATTGTGATTGTTGCCAAGTCTCATGATCTCCGCTGCAATCCTCTGGGCATGCGCTCTATAACCTATGAACTCTCTTCACCAAGAAAACTCGGGAGCTGATTGACTTGTTGTCAGTCCAAAGGGTTTTGTGACTTCCTATTAACTAGTCCCACTTATTGTTTGGATCTATAACTCTTTGGCGATGGCCAACAGGTATTTCCTTAGAGGTTTAAATGTTGGCTATTCTTAGTCTTTTCCAAAATCCCAAAGATTCATTAGGACAGCAGGATCATGAGAAAATGGGAAAGACAGATTCACATGCCTTCTGTCCAATAAGTTCCAAAGCCATATATAACATTCCAAAAACAGTAAAAATCAAAACAGTAAAAAACAGTATAAAAACAGTAAAAATCAAATAGAGTTGACTATCTTAATAGGTCAAAACTAAATGTCAGAGGAATGAATCTGTCATCTAGAACGATTTTGACTAAAGGCTGAAATTAAATACATTGGTATAGTCAAATCAACTGAACACATCTCTTTTTGGCAGCATCGCTTCATAGCTTTTCATGATTAAGGCAAAGCCTTTAATTCAGCATTAACACAATGATTTATAGAAACATCTCATTTGGTTAATGGATAAATTCCACTCCTATTACTTTTCCTGTGCTATAGAAGCAAAGATAGAAGATCTGCCTGGCCTAATGTCTTTAATCATTGGATATATTGGCAAACTCTGAAAGGTTTATTGGGAATTCTGCTTGAATTACAGAACAATGCATCTGAGTCTGATGATCACATTAATTCATTTTGTGTACTACAAATTAGGTGATTTGAAACAATTAGTCAGCATTTCTTCTCTCTTGAAGATATTGTGTACTGTTTATTTATACCAGGACTTTTTAGAAAGGGATAAAACCCTCCATAGGATAAGCACTGGACTGTGAAACACAAGGTTGGTGGCTCAAGCCCACCAGCCATTCCACAGGAGAAAGATGAGGCTTTCTGCTCCTGCAAAGATTGACAGCCTCAGTCAAAACTGACTCAATGGCACTTAACAACAGCAACAAGAAAAGATAATTTTCAATTAAAATAATTAGAAATTGACTTTGACAATACTTTCAAATTTTAGTTTTCATTTTCTTTCACTTTAGGAAGGAAATAAAAGTAAAAAGTTTAGGACTAAAACCTATTTAATTTTTAATTAGCTTTTTGTCAGAAAGACAATATGATGTGAGTTACAGGTGGACGTTCTACAAATGGTCTTACAGCTGATTTCTTCACCTTGGGTTCTTTTATTAGTTTATCAGCTACTTAATTCCATGGATATTTATAGACTACCAGCTGTGTGCCCTGCATTGTTGAGGATACAAGGATCAGATGTGGTTCCCTGATCTCAAGCAGTTTACCATGTGGTAGGAGAGACACCCAATTACAATGAATAATTGTGATAGATGATTATGAGATATATATGCACATAATACTAAGGGAGCACAATGAAGGACATCAGAATCAAGCTTAAAGAATTAAGTAAGCTTTCCAAAGGAGCTGAATTTTGAAGGATGTGTAGAGTTGGCCAGACAAAGAGTATGCAAAGCAGCCCTCTTTGCTGCACAAGATTTCTCCCAACATCCATCTCTGATCTTGTTGCTCTCCTGCTGTCATCCGTTGTTGTTGTTGTTAAGTGCTGTTGAGTCGGTTCCAACTCATATCTACCTTGTATAAGGTTCCCAAGGAACAGCTGGTGAAACTGAACCACCGACCTTATAGTTCAAACCAACCTTGCGGTCCAGTGCTGATTCTATAGCACCACACCAGGACTCCTATTTGTTTGTTGTTGTGAGGTGCCCTCGAGTTGGTTCTAACCAATAGCAACCCTGTATAGGGTTTCTGAGGAGTGGCTGGTGAGCTTGAACCACCGACCTTGCAGTTCAAAGAGCTTTGCAGTCTGGCGCATTAACCCACAGTGCCACAGGTTCCTCATTATTCTGCAGGATCAAGACGAAACTCCTCAACAGTACATAGAATTAAAGTTCCTTTATAATCAACCCATCACCTGACTGGCTTCTTGAACTCTAACCACTCTCCTCTTGTCCTGTGTTCCCTTCCTTTCCCCCAACATAGTCTACAATGTTTTCACAGTCGGCATAGTTTTCAACTACTAGGCCAAGATACACCGAGTATCCCTCCCCACATGTGCTACAGAAGGGATGAGTGGGTAAAATATCTTTTTGCTACACTTAAACACACAGGCTATTCTGTGGTATCTGCTGAATTGTACATTAAGCCACTTTGAGTGCTGCTACAGAAATAATGAATGGATAAAATGTCTTTATTCTGTGATGTCTGCTAAAGTGCACACTAAGCCACTCTGAGTCCTGCAGTGCAGTATAGAAAGAGTTTCTATTTGTTGAGAGTAGATTTGTTAGGAAGAGAAGACAGAACTGCCAGCCAGCAGGAAAGAAAGAGAATGTTAGAGAAACTAAGCCTTGTTGAGTATAGGAGAGCTTAGTCAGTACTATTCAATCAATTCTATTCAAACACTGCCCATGGTGCCGAAGGATAACCAAGAGAATCCTGCAATAACAGGATGCTCTTACAGATATTCTGAGATATATTACAATGTAGTGTTCATAACAGCTAATTTATGGAGCGCCTAGTATGTGTTATATACAATTTAATAGATTTAATAAGAAGTTTGCATGTATCAACTCAGACACATTCAGTAATGATTGCTGACTTAGGGTGTTTTATCCCTTTAGATATGCTGCCAACTATTCTAAAATTTAAAACTATGTGAATACAAGTCTGAAGAACCTGTTTCCAGCTGTCTCTTCAACAGCCAGTGCACTTTTCATGTCCCTACCTAAATGCTCTTCCTCCTTGACATTGAATGCCTCATTCAAATACCAGCTCCTTGCTTCCCAGAGATTACCTGGAGACTCTAGCAGAATAAACAACTGCCTTCTCCATGCTTCCATAACAAGTCACATATGCCTTAAGAGTATTAATTATAGTCTAATCTGTATTGTAGCTCTGGTAGCATAGTGGTTACAAATCGGGCTGTGAACCTTAAGGTCAGCGGTTCGAAACTACCAGCTGCACCGCGGGAGAAAGATGAGGCTTTCTACTCCCATAAAGATTTACACCCTCAGAAACCCTATACAGGGCCCCTACGGGTCGGAACCGACTCGATGGCACATAACAACAACAACAACAACAATCTGTATTGTAAGGATTTGTGTATGCTTCTGCCTCCCTGCTAGATTATAAGCACCATAGTGTAGTGGACTTTGGAGACAAAAAGTGAGTTTCAAAGCTTGACTGAGCACATATTTGTGTAACCTTGAGCAACTGTTTCAACCCTTGTAGGGCTCAACTTCCTCATATATAAAGGAGGAATGTTAACAATGTCTACCCCGTGGAGTCCTGGTGTGGTATTGTGGGTTAATTTGCTGGACTGCAAAGTAAGCTTGAACCACAAAGTCAGTGGTTCAAGCTCACCAGCTGCTCCTCGGAAACCCTATACAAGGTCACTATGGGTCAGAATCAACTCAATGGCATTTAACAACAACAACAAAAGTTGATGTAAGATATGTAAAGCACCTGGCCACTGCTTTCCACAAACAAGTGTTCATTCTCTGTTCCTCTTTGTCTTACTAGTTATTAACACTCAATAAGTATTTGACTAATTGAATGCATAATTGAATTAATCGAATGAATGTTGTATGCATTGATTGTTTCCATGTTGTTTAACCTTTTCCATGTATATCCATCTGGCAGATTTTTCTAGGTTGATCATTCTTGCAAGAATTTTCCCAGAATCAAATCTGTTTGCAC